TTCTGCTGCGGATGCTCCGGTCCGAGAGGTTCCGATGACGGCCACGTCGTCGGCGAATGCCACCAGTTGAACTCCGGGTTGCATGTCGGTGTCAAGTAGTTCTTCGTAGAACACGTTCCATAAGGCAGGACCGAGTACCGAACCCTGTGGACCCCCGCACGTAACGCTCCTCGCTGTTTGTGCCTCTCCGACGAGGAGGGTCCTGTTCTCCAGATAGGATCGTATCATGCGGTTCAGGTGGGATGGGACCAGCCTTTCGCGGAGAGCGGCGTCGATCCGAGGCCACGGGGCGGTGTTGAACGCATTGCGCACGTCGAGGGATACGACTACGCACAGGTCGCGGTGTTGGACTGCGCCCGATGCGGCTCCCCGGGCTGCGCTGATTACGCGATCGATTGCGTCGTCGGTGGATCGTCCTTGCCGAAACCCGTACTGGTTCTCGGACCTTTGTCCGGTCGAGTCGAGGTGCAGGTTGAGTCTCGTCAGCAACAGTCGCTCCAGGAACCTAACCTAACCTAACCTAACCTAACCTAACCTAACCTAACCTAACCTAACCTAACCTAACCTAACCTAACCTAACCTAACCTAACCTAACCTAACCTAACCTAACCCTAACCTAACCTAACCTAACCTAACCTAACCTTTTTTTTTTTTTTTTTTTTCGGGTTTGAACCGACGACGTCGCGGGAACAGCTTTCGCATTACTTCCGCGACGCCGCCATCGTTTATTGACAAAGACAAATATTTATACATACGTGGGGGGTAGACGGGACAGTTCCCCGACTTACCCCCCCTCTAAACATGACAGTACATAGCATATTACATTTTACATTATCAGCAGTTGTTGAGGCGTACACCTTTTGGCGGGCCGACCGGAGTCCGCCGCCCTGGTTCTCTCGTGCTGCTACTCCTATTGGCGGGCCGACCGGAGTCCGCCGCCCTTGAAACCTCGTTCTCTAGGTGTCCAGCGATGCCGTGATCGTCGTCCCGCCCGTGGTGTCACGGGTGGGGGATGAACAACGTGGTCGGTGACACCTCCGACGACTCGCGGTAGCGAGTGGTGTGAGTGTCTGTCCAGTTGTTCATCCTGATCCAGCTTCAGACTGAGTGCGCTGTCGTCAGTCGTACAACTGTTCGTCCCTTTCATCATCTTCTTTGGAGCACATGATTTTTTCCACCATCGCCATAAACTCACGTCTGTTGGTCTTTGCCTGTTCTACGATCCTTGACCGGGCTGTCAGATCGTCAGGTAGTTCGTCGGCCCTAGGTCCACACAGGAGTTCCTGAACGTCCCCGGGCTCTGGTGGGCGTCTTAAGATCCTGGTCAGGACAGCACGCTCGTCCTCCCACCTGGGGCAAGCGAAGAGGGTGTGCTCTGCCGTGTCTTCGGGGTTCATGCAATACACGCAGTAGCTGTCCACGGCACGTTTGAATCTTAGCAGGTAGCTGCGGAAACAACCGTGTGCAGACAGGGCCTGCGTCATGCGGTATGTGAGGCTCATAGCAGGCTTCGCAATCCAGCGTGCGATGTCGGGCAGAAGCCGGTGGGTCCATCTGCGTCCGACTGCGTCAGGACCGGCTGCGGCCCGATCCCATCTGGATTGCCAAGACGATGTAGAGATTGCTCTTTCTCCTTTCCTTATAGTGGAGGTCGATGTTAATTCTCCCTCATCTTCTAGACGGGTCTTGACTCTTGCCCGTTCGTGGGCGAGGAGGTCGGCCGGCAGCATGCACGACAGTACGGAGGACGCGTCGGCGGAGATCGTTCGGTAGCCTCTGATGGTGCGGAGTGCCGTGGTCCTCTGCGCCCTGGCCATCTCGTTTCGATTTTTCGCTGTCTTGATGCCGGCTTTGGCCCAGGTTGGGGACGCGTAGAGCAGCTTGCTGTTGGTCACAGACCCCAGCAGAGCCCGTTTTGCCTGGGTCGGGCCCCCTACGTTGGGCATCAGACGTCCGATGGCTTTAGCCGAATCCGAGGCCTTTCTCGACGCTGTGGCTATGTGTGCCGTGAACGACAGGCGGGTGTCCAACTCCACCCCCAGATATCGAATGACTGGCTTCACCGGTATGGCGTGTCCCTCCACGTACAGTTGGGGGTCGTCGAATTTGTATTTCCTGGTCAGAACGACGGCCTCAGACTTTTGGGGAGCTATCGTGAGACCGTTTTCGCGCATCCAATTCGAGACGGTGCTCAGCGCTGGGTTCAACAGTTCTGCTGCGGATGCTCCGGTCCGAGAGGTTCCGATGACGGCCACGTCGTCGGCGAATGCCACCAGTTGAACTCCGGGTTGCATGTCGGTGTCAAGTAGTTCTTCGTAGAACACGTTCCATAAGGCAGGACCGAGTACCGAACCCTGTGGGACCCCGCACGTAACGCTCCTCGCTGTTTGTGCCTCTCCGACGAGGAGGGTCCTGTTCTCCAGATAGGATCGTATCATGCGGTTCAGGTGGGATGGGACCAGCCTTTCGCGGAGAGCGGCGTCGATCCGAGGCCACGGGGCGGTGTTGAACGCATTGCGCACGTCGAGGGATACGACTACGCACAGGTCGCGGTGTTGGACTGCGCCCGATGCGGCTCCCCGGGCTGCGCTGATTACGCGATCGATTGCGTCGTCGGTGGATCGTCCTTGCCGAAACCCGTACTGGTTCTCGGACCTTTGTCCGGTCGAGTCGAGGTGCAGGTTGAGTCTCGTCAGCAACAGTCGCTCCAGGAGCTTGGCCGCGGAGTTGAGCATGCATAGTGGCCTGTAGCTCGATGGCTCGAGGATCGGCTTTCCAGGTCCCTTGTGGAGAAGGACGAGCCTGGCGGTCTTCCATCGTGCAGGAAATTCGTTCCTGAGCAGGCAGCAGTTGTAGGTGTTCAGAAGAGCTTGTGGGGCGGTTTTGGAGACCCGGAGGAGGACCTCGTTGGGAATCCCGTCTGGACCCGTGGCTTTGCCCGCCGGCAGCCGTGTGCACGCTTCTCGCAGCTCATCGAGTGTAAACAGGTGTGCTTGCGGATCGCAGGGGTCGTCGATCAGAGGTTGCTCGAGTGACCATTCGGTTGCTGGAGGTTCCGGAAAGAGGTGATTGGCAATCGAGTCCTCCCTGCCGCGCGCTTCGACGCCAGGGCGGCGGCGGCCGATCTTCTTGGTCACCACCCTGTAAGGTAGGCCCCAAGGGTCGTCGTCGACGGCTTTGCACAGCTCGGCCCAGCTCTTGGCCTGGGCGTCGCGGATGGCGTTGCGTAGTTCTTTGCGCTTTTCCGAGTAAGCCAAGCGGTGGGCGTCTATCAGGTCTTGATTTTCGTGCCTCCGAGCGGACCGTTGGAGCGCTCTTCGTAGCTTGATCGTGGTATGTCGGTGCGCGGCCAGATCCCTTGACCACCAGTGAGCTTCGTTTCTGCCTGCTCTGCGAGGGACCCTAGGGGGCATGCAGGAATTACAGGCCGCCTCCAGGTATTCGATCAGTTGATCGGCTGCCTGAGATGCGGTGGTAGTGTCGTTGACGTCGGGTTGAGCCGTGTTAGCCAGGTGAGTGGCTAGAGCGACTGGGTCCAGCTGACGGAATGACCAACCTATTGCATGGTTGCCCCCAGTATCGTCCACGTCGGGAGTCGGGTCGATGGTAAACTCGATGTAGCGGTGATCGCTGGCTGACTCCACGTCTTCCAGGACTCTCCATCCGCGTATGGCGGCGGGTGCAACGAGGCGTGAGAACGTGATATCGATGATCGTCTCTGCATTGATCCGCCGGTAGGTGCCCGTGTCGCCGGTGTTCTCGACGCTCAGCCCAAGACTGGCAGCGAGGTCGGCCAGCTGCTCGCCCCTCCGGTCGTGAGAACCTAACCTAACCTAACCTAACCTAACCTAACCTAACCTAACCTAACCTAACCTAACCTAACCTAACCTAACCTAACCTAACCTAACCTAACCTAACCTAACCTAACCTAACCTAACCTGACCTAACCTAACCTAACCTAACCTAACCTAACCCTAACCTAACCTAACCTAACCTAACCTAACCTTTTTTTTTTTTTTTTTTTCGGGTTTGAACCGACGACGTCGCGGGAACTGCTTTCGCAATGCTTCCGCGACGCCGCCATCGTTTATTTGAAATAATAAAGACAAATAATTATACATACGGGAGGGGTAGACGGGACACTTCCCCGACTTACCCCCCCTCTAAACATGACAGTACATAGCATATTACATTTTACATTATCAGCAGTTGTTGAGGCGTACACCTTTTAGCGGGCCGACCGGAGTCCGCCGCCCTGGTTCTCTCGTGCTGCTACTCCTATTGGCGGGCCGACCGGAGTCCGCCGCCCTTGAAACCTCGTTCTCTAGGTGTCCAGCGATGCCGTGATCGTCGTCCCGCCCGTGGTGTCACGGGTGGGGGATGAACAACGTGGTCGGTGACACCTCCGACGACTCGCGGTAGCGAGTGGTGTGAGTGTCTGTCCAGTTGTTCATCCTGATCCAGCTTCAGACTGAGTGCGCTGTCGTCAGTCGTACAACTGTTCCTCCCTTTCATCATCTTCTTTGGAGCACATGATTTTTTCCACCATCGCCATAAACTCACGTCTGTTGGTCTTTGCCTGTTCTACGATCCTTGACCGGGCTGTCAGATCGTCAGGTAGTTCGTCGGCCCTAGGTCCACACAGGAGTTCCTGAACGTCCCCGGGCTCTGGTGGGCGTCTTAAGATCCTGGTCAGGACAGCACGCTCGTCCTCCCACCTGGGGCAAGCGAAGAGGGTGTGCTCTGCCGTGTCTTCGGGGTTCATGCAATACACGCAGTAGCTGTCCACGGCACGTTTGAATCTTAGCAGGTAGCTGCGGAAACAACCGTGTGCAGACAGGGCCTGCGTCATGCGGTATGTGAGGCTCATAGCAGGCTTCGCAATCCAGCGTGCGATGTCGGGCAGAAGCCGGTGGGTCCATCTGCGTCCGACTGCGTCAGGACCGGCTGCGGCCCGATCCCATCTGGATTGCCAAGACGATGTAGAGATTGCTCTTTCTCCTTTCCTTATAGTGGAGGTCGATGTTAATTCTCCCTCATCTTCTAGACGGGTCTTGACTCTTGCCCGTTCGTGGGCGAGGAGGTCGGCCGGCAGCATGCACGACAGTACGGAGGACGCGTCGGCGGAGATCGTTCGGTAGCCTCTGATGGTGCGGAGTGCCGTGGTCCTCTGCGCCCTGGCCATCTCGTTTCGATTTTTCGCTGTCTTGATGCCGGCTTTGGCCCAGGTTGGGGACGCGTAGAGCAGCTTGCTGTTGGTCACAGACCCCAGCAGAGCCCGTTTTGCCTGGGTCGGGCCCCCTACGTTGGGCATCAGACGTCCGATGGCTTTAGCCGAATCCGAGGCCTTTCTCGACGCTGTGGCTATGTGTGCCGTGAACGACAGGCGGGTGTCCAACTCCACCCCCAGATATCGAATGACTGGCTTCACCGGTATGGCGTGTCCCTCCACGTACAGTTGGGGGTCGTCGAATTTGTATTTCCTGGTCAGAACGACGGCCTCAGACTTTTGGGGAGCTATCGTGAGACCGTTTTCGCGCATCCAATTCGAGACGGTGCTCAGCGCTGGGTTCAACAGTTCTGCTGCGGATGCTCCGGTCCGAGAGGTTCCGATGACGGCCACGTCGTCGGCGAATGCCACCAGTTGAACTCCGGGTTGCATGTCGGTGTCAAGTAGTTCTTCGTAGAACACGTTCCATAAGGCAGGACCGAGTACCGAACCCTGTGGGACCCCGCACGTAACGCTCCTCGCTGTTTGTGCCTCTCCGACGAGGAGGGTCCTGTTCTCCAGATAGGATCGTATCATGCGGTTCAGGTGGGATGGGACCAGCCTTTCGCGGAGAGCGGCGTCGATCCGAGGCCACGGGGCGGTGTTGAACGCATTGCGCACGTCGAGGGATACGACTACGCACAGGTCGCGGTGTTGGACTGCGCCCGATGCGGCTCCCCGGGCTGCGCTGATTACGCGATCGATTGCGTCGTCGGTGGATCGTCCTTGCCGAAACCCGTACTGGTTCTCGGACCTTTGTCCGGTCGAGTCGAGGTGCAGGTTGAGTCTCGTCAGCAACAGTCGCTCCAGGAGCTTGGCCGCGGAGTTGAGCATGCATAGTGGCCTGTAGCTCGATGGCTCGAGGATCGGCTTTCCAGGTCCCTTGTGGAGAAGGACGAGCCTGGCGGTCTTCCATCGTGCAGGAAATTCGTTCCTGAGCAGGCAGCAGTTGTAGGTGTTCAGAAGAGCTTGTGGGGCGGTTTTGGAGACCCGGAGGAGGACCTCGTTGGGAATCCCGTCTGGACCCGTGGCTTTGCCCGCCGGCAGCCGTGTGCACGCTTCTCGCAGCTCATCGAGTGTAAACAGGTGTGCTTGCGGATCGCAGGGGTCGTCGATCAGAGGTTGCTCGAGTGACCATTCGGTTGCTGGAGGTTCCGGAAAGAGGTGATTGGCAATCGAGTCCTCCCTGCCGCGCGCTTCGACGCCAGGGCGGCGGCGGCCGATCTTCTTGGTCACCACCCTGTAAGGTAGGCCCCAAGGGTCGTCGTCGACGGCTTTGCACAGCTCGGCCCAGCTCTTGGCCTGGGCGTCGCGGATGGCGTTGCGTAGTTCTTTGCGCTTTTCCGAGTAAGCCAAGCGGTGGGCGTCTATCAGGTCTTGATTTTCGTGCCTCCGAGCGGACCGTTGGAGCGCTCTTCGTAGCTTGATCGTGGTATGTCGGTGCGCGGCCAGATCCCTTGACCACCAGTGAGCTTCGTTTCTGCCTGCTCTGCGAGGGACCCTAGGGGGCATGCAGGAATTACAGGCCGCCTCCAGGTATTCGATCAGTTGATCGGCTGCCTGAGATGCGGTGGTAGTGTCGTTGACGTCGGGTTGAGCCGTGTTAGCCAGGTGAGTGGCTAGAGCGACTGGGTCCAGCTGACGGAATGACCAACCTATTGCATGGTTGCCCCCAGTATCGTCCACGTCGGGAGTCGGGTCGATGGTAAACTCGATGTAGCGGTGATCGCTGGCTGACTCCACGTCTTCCAGGACTCTCCATCCGCGTATGGCGGCGGGTGCAACGAGGCGTGAGAACGTGATATCGATGATCGTCTCTGCATTGATCCGCCGGTAGGTGCCCGTGTCGCCGGTGTTCTCGACGCTCAGCCCAAGACTGGCAGCGAGGTCGGCCAGCTGCTCGCCCCTCCGGTCGTTGCGCGCCGAGCCCCACTCTTGCGACCAGGCGTTGAAGTCGCCGCCGATCAACACGTGAGTTCGGAAGTCGCACTCCCGCACGGACTGGTGGATTTCGTCGAGAAATGTTGCGAACTGTTCATTGGGGACGTTGCGGGAGGTGTAGCAGCTGTATATCCTTAGCCCGCGTCCCTGGATCCAGGCGAAGCCCGAACCGGACCCTTTCGATTCGGGGACGAAGTCCGCTGAAGCCGTGAGGACGACTGCGCAGGAGTGATCGTTGCTGACTGTCCATCTGTCGTCGCGTGCTGGACTCCAGTTTTGTTCGGAAACAAGGAGGACGTGGGCTCTCCTTTCGGCCGAGGTCTGCTGCAGAAGGCTCTGGGCGGTGGCACTCCGTTGTAAGTTTATCTGTATGATGTGCATCATATTCGGTTCTTTATTGAGTTCATCTCTGAGATGGCTTTCCTTCGGGCGGCGCAAGCCCCGGAGCCGGGCTTGTGCGGCACGCGTGGGGCCTTGATGCGGTCGCAGGCGACGCACAGGTCCGCGCCCTCGGTGCATGTGGCCTCGGTGTGTCCGTTCTGTCCGCATCTTCGGCAGGCGTGAGAGAGGTCGGTGCCGGTGCACTGCCGCGTGGCGTGTCCATAGCCGTGGCAGCGGTAGCACTTTGTCGGCTCCGGTCTGCGCGGGCGGACCCGGCACTGAGTCCAGCCGACGCGGACGGAAGTCAGACTCCGACCGATGGCGATGGGCACTGTTGCGGTGGCCATTTGGCGGCTGTCCCGCGTGGCCCACAGGCCGGTTATCTTGATCTCGTCGGCCGTGATGGGTTGGCCGTCTGGCGTGCTCTTGAGGATCGCGGCGAGGACCTCATCCCTGGTGGTAACCTCGTCGAGGTCAGTAATTTCTATTTCGGCGGTGTGCCGGAGCCTGGTGACCACGGCTCCTGCCATGTTTTCGGCGAGCTTGTCACGGATGGCTGAGGTGGCAGCAGTGGCCTTTGCGCCCTTGGTCAGCTCGACGAGCAGGTCGCCTTTGAGCGTTCTCCTCATTGAGGTCACGTGGGTTCCGAGTCCTTCGAAGTCTATTTCGGTGCCCCTGACTTGGCGCAGGGTGTCTGCGTAGGACTTGCCTTCGGGGACCTTGACGAGCACAGCGGCTGGTCTCTGGACGATTTTCCTGATTTGCTGCGGTCTCGGGGCAGGCAGCTTCTTGGTTACCTTCTGGACCAGAGTGAAGGGGACTTCTTCATGTTCGACCGATCGGTTTCCTGAGTGTTCGGGTTGATCGGTTGGCGGGACTTCAGGGACTTCGTTCCTCTGAGCCGGAGGTTTGGCCATGGGGGTCCTTGCGTCCAGCTTGGGTTTTTGGTTATTCCTCCTTCGACGACCGTTGCCGTTGGCCGGTTGGCCGGTTTTTCCGGCGGGCTGGGAGGAAGTCGTGGGCTTCGGTGCGTTGGCGGCAGGAATGTCGATGTTGGGATCGGTGGCGGTGGAGGCATCTTTTTGGCCGGGTGGCGGCCGTTGATCCTTGTCGAGCAGTTTCAGAGCTTTGCAAACTTGCTCGAGTGCTTTGGTGACTTTTGACAGGCAGGGGCCGATGTAATCCTCGGAGTAGAACTCGTCCGCGAGGCTCTGTACGAGATCACAGGCATATTCCGTGGCTCTGGTGGCTGCGATGAGCGCGTTGCCGGAGTCTGAGGTGGTCGGTGTTTTGGTTGTTGTCGAAGTAGCGGTGTTGGGCGTCTTCTTCTTCTTCGTCTTCTGGACCTGGGAGTCTGCGGCCGGGGAGCTGGCTTGCTTCCTCTTGTGATGAGGGCCGTGGTCGGAGAAGGCGTCCATTTCCCAGTCGTCTGGGACGGAGGACGGCATGGCTGACTATCCTGAAAAAACGGGGTCGCGAGGGCCAAGGGAAAAAAAAAAAAAAAAAAAAAATTTTGGGGGGGGGGATTTTCGGTTTTTTCTGTTGGGGGGACCTCGTCCGAGAGGTGCCTCTAGGCCTTGTGCCCGAGTCCTGAGGTCGTGGGACCTTTGTGGCCGGAGTTATTGGCGTTTTAAGAAAACGGGGTGAGGGGAAAACTTTCGCGTGGGGGTGGGGGCCGCTGCCCCAGCCACGTGGCTGTTTTCCGCAGCGCTCTCCGAGCGCTGGTTCTCGCACACCGGCGTTTTCAAATTTCCGATTTTTTCCGTGACCAAGTGACGTTCGCGTCCCGAGTCGTTCGCGTCGCGTTGACGTTAGAACGAATGTCGCGGATTTGCGACCGGCCCGATGGCAGTGGCAAAATCCGTTATCACGGGGATCGGAGCCGCGTGATAGTACGGGCGGCCGTGTTAACCTTATGGGGTGAATTAATAGTTAACTCACCTGGGCCCTATTGAACGGATTGGCCCGCTCGATGTATGGTACGTTAGAGCTCAGCAAGGCGGACCGAAACAGCTGATGGGCCTAGACGTGGGTCGTCTGGTCGTCGCTGGGTGGTCGCTTTTGTCAGCCGATATTGTACTTAGCAATAGTTGGTCTGGAGGGCTGGTTTCTGCAGCAAAACTGACGTTCGCACTCGCGTTGTGACCGGACTGTCACCGTACACTTAACGCACGATCCGGATTTTGCGATTGGGTTCGCGGGCGTCGGATTCGGCGAACTCTGTGCGGCTGCGTAATTCGGTAGCGATTTTTCGCGGTGGCGTCACAAAGCGGCGTCGGCTTTTGCCGGGCGGCCAGCTACGGGCCCGCTGAGTACACCAAAAGATGCGCACGGGCGGTGCGGATTTTTTGGTGGTTCGAACGGGTGCGTGCGGTGTTTGGGTGGTGAGCACCAGCGGATCTGGTGTTGCCGTGAGGTCGGGCGGCCGAGCGCGGTGCACTTAGGTCGCCGTATCTCACTGGGTTTAAGACCTACGGTCGCGCGCGATGGCTTTTTCACTTAGTGGCGGGCAGCTGAAGCGATTGAGCCATGAAACGGGCGAATCGGAGGTACTTTTTGGTCGAACTTTTTATCGGCGGCGGGCGGCGGAATTTCACGCACTGTTTTCGCGATTTCTCGGGCGCGGCTGGGCCGATTTCGACGCGCGATGTCTTGGCGTGACGGCGGAGTCGAGACGAATCGATAGGTACCTGAATCGATCGGATCGGTTAGGTGTTTTCGGCGAAAACAAAAAACTCAACGGGAGCGATACGGAGGTGCGTGCTGTCGGTTTCGTGGTCGGAGCCGGACTAACCTAACCTAACCTAACCTAACCTAACCTAACCTAACCTAACCTAACCTAACCTAACCTAACCTAACCTAACCTAACCTTCTCGGGCGCGGCTGGGCCGATTTCGACGCGCGATGTCTTGGCGTGACGGCGGAGTCGAGACGAATCGATAGGTACCTGAATCGATCGGATCGGTTCGAAGTTTTCGGTGAAAACAAAAAACTCGTCGGGAGCGGTACGGAGGTGCGTGCGATCGGTTTCGTGGTCGGAGCCAGACTGAACCTAACCTAACCTAACCTAACCTAACCTAACCTAACCTAACCTAACCTAACCTAACCTTTTTTTTTTTTTTTTTTCGGGTTTGAACCGACGACGTCGCGGGAACTGCTTTCGCAATGCTTCCGCGACGCCGCCATCGTTTATTTGAAATAATAAAGACAAATAATTATACATACGGGAGGGGTAGACGGGACACTTCCCCGACTTACCCCCCCTCTAAACATGACAGTACATAGCATATTACATTTTACATTATCAGCAGTTGTTGAGGCGTACACCTTTTGGCGGGCCGACCGGAGTCCGCCGCCCTGGTTCTCTCGTGCTGCTACTCCTATTGGCGGGCCGACCGGAGTCCGCCGCCCTTGAAACCTCGTTCTCTAGGTGTCCAGCGATGCCGTGATCGTCGTCCCGCCCGTGGTGTCACGGGTGGGGGATGAACAACGTGGTCGGTGACACCTCCGACGACTCGCGGTAGCGAGTGGTGTGAGTGTCTGTCCAGTTGTTCATCCTGATCCAGCTTCAGACTGAGTGCGCTGTCGTCAGTCGTACAACTGTTCCTCCCTTTCATCATCTTCTTTGGAGCACATGATTTTTTCCACCATCGCCATAAACTCACGTCTGTTGGTCTTTGCCTGTTCTACGATCCTTGACCGGGCTGTCAGATCGTCAGGTAGTTCGTCGGCCCTAGGTCCACACAGGAGTTCCTGAACGTCCCCGGGCTCTGGTGGGCGTCTTAAGATCCTGGTCAGGACAGCACGCTCGTCCTCCCACCTGGGGCAAGCGAAGAGGGTGTGCTCTGCCGTGTCTTCGGGGTTCATGCAATACACGCAGTAGCTGTCCACGGCACGTTTGAATCTTAGCAGGTAGCTGCGGAAACAACCGTGTGCAGACAGGGCCTGCGTCATGCGGTATGTGAGGCTCATAGCAGGCTTCGCAATCCAGCGTGCGATGTCGGGCAGAAGCCGGTGGGTCCATCTGCGTCCGACTGCGTCAGGACCGGCTGCGGCCCGATCCCATCTGGATTGCCAAGACGATGTAGAGATTGCTCTTTCTCCTTTCCTTATAGTGGAGGTCGATGTTAATTCTCCCTCATCTTCTAGACGGGTCTTGACTCTTGCCCGTTCGTGGGCGAGGAGGTCGGCCGGCAGCATGCACGACAGTACGGAGGACGCGTCGGCGGAGATCGTTCGGTAGCCTCTGATGGTGCGGAGTGCCGTGGTCCTCTGCGCCCTGGCCATCTCGTTTCGATTTTTCGCTGTCTTGATGCCGGCTTTGGCCCAGGTTGGGGACGCGTAGAGCAGCTTGCTGTTGGTCACAGACCCCAGCAGAGCCCGTTTTGCCTGGGTCGGGCCCCCTACGTTGGGCATCAGACGTCCGATGGCTTTAGCCGAATCCGAGGCCTTTCTCGACGCTGTGGCTATGTGTGCCGTGAACGACAGGCGGGTGTCCAACTCCACCCCCAGATATCGAATGACTGGCTTCACCGGTATGGCGTGTCCCTCCACGTACAGTTGGGGGTCGTCGAATTTGTATTTCCTGGTCAGAACGACGGCCTCAGACTTTTGGGGAGCTATCGTGAGACCGTTTTCGCGCATCCAATTCGAGACGGTGCTCAGCGCTGGGTTCAACAGTTCTGCTGCGGATGCTCCGGTCCGAGAGGTTCCGATGACGGCCACGTCGTCGGCGAATGCCACCAGTTGAACTCCGGGTTGCATGTCGGTGTCAAGTAGTTCTTCGTAGAACACGTTCCATAAGGCAGGACCGAGTACCGAACCCTGTGGGACCCCGCACGTGACGCTCCTCGCTGTTTGTGCCTCTCCGACGAGGAGGGTCCTGTTCTCCAGATAGGATCGTATCATGCGGTTCAGGTGGGATGGGACCAGCCTTTCGCGGAGAGCGGCGTCGATCCGAGGCCACGGGGCGGTGTTGAACGCATTGCGCACGTCGAGGGATACGACTACGCACAGGTCGCGGTGTTGGACTGCGCCCGATGCGGCTCCCCGGGCTGCGCTGATTACGCGATCGATTGCGTCGTCGGTGGATCGTCCTTGCCGAAACCCGTACTGGTTCTCGGACCTTTGTCCGGTCGAGTCGAGGTGCAGGTTGAGTCTCGTCAGCAACAGTCGCTCCAGGAGCTTGGCCGCGGAGTTGAGCATGCATAGTGGCCTGTAGCTCGATGGCTCGAGGATCGGCTTTCCAGGTCCCTTGTGGAGAAGGACGAGCCTGGCGGTCTTCCATCGTGCAGGAAATTCGTTCCTGAGCAGGCAGCAGTTGTAGGTGTTCAGAAGAGCTTGTGGGGCGGTTTTGGAGACCCGGAGGAGGACCTCGTTGGGAATCCCGTCTGGACCCGTGGCTTTGCCCGCCGGCAGCCGTGTGCACGCTTCTCGCAGCTCATCGAGTGTAAACAGGTGTGCTTGCGGATCGCAGGGGTCGTCGATCAGAGGTTGCTCGAGTGACCATTCGGTTGCTGGAGGTTCCGGAAAGAGGTGATTGGCAATCGAGTCCTCCCTGCCGCGCGCTTCGACGCCAGGGCGGCGGCGGCCGATCTTCTTGGTCACCACCCTGTAAGGTAGGCCCCAAGGGTCGTCGTCGACGGCTTTGCACAGCTCGGCCCAGCTCTTGGCCTGGGCGTCGCGGATGGCGTTGCGTAGTTCTTTGCGCTTTTCCGAGTAAGCCAAGCGGTGGGCGTCTATCAGGTCTTGATTTTCGTGCCTCCGAGCGGACCGTTGGAGCGCTCTTCGTAGCTTGATCGTGGTATGTCGGTGCGCGGCCAGATCCCTTGACCACCAGTGAGCTTCGTTTCTGCCTGCTCTGCGAGGGACCCTAGGGGGCATGCAGGAATTACAGGCCGCCTCCAGGTATTCGATCAGTTGATCGGCTGCCTGAGATGCGGTGGTAGTGTCGTTGACGTCGGGTTGAGCCGTGTTAGCCAGGTGAGTGGCTAGAGCGACTGGGTCCAGCTGACGGAATGACCAACCTATTGCATGGTTGCCCCCAGTATCGTCCACGTCGGGAGTCGGGTCAATGGTAAACTCGATGTAGCGGTGATCGCTGGCTGACTCCACGTCTTCCAGGACTCTCCATCCGCGTATGGCGGCGGGTGCAACGAGGCGTGAGAACGTGATATCGATGATCGTCTCTGCATTGATCCGCCGGTAGGTGCCCGTGTCGCCGGTGTTCTCGACGCTCAGCCCAAGACTGGCAGCGAGGTCGGCCAGCTGCTCGCCCCTCCGGTCGTTGCGCGCCGAGCCCCACTCTTGCGACCAGGCGTTGAAGTCGCCGCCGATCAACACGTGAGTTCGGGCGTCGCACTCCCGCACGGACTGGTGGATTTCGTCGAGAAATGTTGCGAACTGTTCATTGGGGACGTTGCGGGAGGTGTAGCAGCTGTATATCCTTAGCCCGCGTCCCTGGATCCAGGCGAAGCCCGAACCGGACCCTTTCGATTCGGGGACGAAGTCCGCTGAAGCCGTGAGGACGACTGCGCAGGAGTGATCGTTGCTGACTGTCCATCTGTCGTCGCGTGCTGGACTCCAGTTTTGTTCGGAAACAAGGAGGACGTGGGCTCTCCTTTCGGCCGAAGTCTGCTGCAGAAGGCTCTGGGCGGTGGCACTCCGTTGTAAGTTTATCTGTATGATGTGCATCATATTCGGTTCTTTATTGAGTTCATCTCTGAGATGGCTTTCCTTCGGGCGGCGCAAGCCCCGGAGCCGGGCTTGTGCGGCACGCGTGGGGCCTTGATGCGGTCGCAGGCGACGCACAGGTCCGCGCCCTCGGTGCATGTGGCCTCGGTGTGTCCGTTCTGTCCGCATCTTCGGCAGGCGTGAGAGAGGTCGGTGCCGGTGCACTGCCGCGTGGCGTGTCCATAGCCGTGGCAGCGGTAGCACTTTGTCGGTTCCGGTCTGCGCGGGCGGACCCGGCACTGAGTCCAGCCGACGCGGACGGATGTCAGGCTCCGACCGATGGCGATGGGCACTGTTGCAGTGGCCATTTGACGGCTGTCCCGCGTGGCCCACAGGCCGGTTATCTTGACCTCTTCTTCGGAGAGGGGTTGGCCGTCCGGCGCGCTCTTAAGAATCGCGGCGAGGACCTCTTCTCTGGTGGTGACCTCGTCGAGGTCGGTTATTTCGATTTCGGCGGTGTGCCGGAGCCTGGTGACCACGGCTCCTGCCATGTTTTCGGCGAGCTTGTCACGGATGGCTGAGGTGGCAGCAGTGGCCTTTGCGCCCTTGGTCAGCTCGACGAGCAGGTCGCCTTTGAGCGTTCTCCTCATTGAAGTCACGTGGGTTCCGAGTCCTTCGAAGTCTATTTCGGTGCCCCTGACTTGGCGCAGGGTGTCTGCGTAGGACTTGCCTTCGGGGACCTTGACGAGCACAGCGGCTGGTCTCTGGACGATTTTCCTGATTTGCTGCGGTCTCGGGGCAGGCGGCTTCTTGGTTACCTTCTGGACCAGAGTGAAGGGGACTTCTTCATGTTCGACCGATCGGTTTCCTGAGTTTTCGGGTTGATCGGTTGGCGGGACTTCAGGGACTTCGTTCCTCTGAGCCGGAGGTTTGGCCATGGGGGTCCTTGCGTCCAGCTTGGGTTTTTGGTTATTCCTCCTTCGACGACCGTTGCCGTTGGCCGATTGGCCGGTTTTTCCGGCGGGCTGGGAGGAAGTCGTGGGCTTCGGTGCGTTGGCGGCAGGAATGTCGATGTTGGGATCGGTGGCGGTGGAGGCATCTTTTTGGCCGGGTGGCGGCCGTTGATCCTTGTCGAGCAGTTTCAGAGCTTTGCAAACTTGCTCGAGTGCTTTGGTGACTTTTGACAGGCAGGGGCCGATGTAATCCTCGGAGTAGAACTCGTCCGCGAGGCTCTGTACGAGATCACAGGCATATTCCGTGGCTCTGGTGGCTGCGATGAGCGCGTTGCCGGAGTCTGAGGTAGTCGGTGTTTTGGTTGTTGTCGAAGTAGCGGTGTTGGGCGTCTTCTTCTTCTTCGTCTTCTGGACCTGGGAGTCTGCGGCCGGGGAGCTGGCTTGCTTCCTCTTGTGATGAGGGCCGTGGTCGGAGAAGGCGTCCATTTCCCAGTCGTCTGGGACGGAGGACGGCATGGCTGACTATCCTGAAAAAACGGGGTCGCGAGGGCCAAGGGAGAAAAAAAAAAAAAAAAAAAAAAAAAAAAAAAAAAAAATTTGGGGGGGGGGATTTTCGGTTTTTTCTGTTGGGGGGACCTCGTCCGAGAGGTGCCTCTAGGCCTTGTGCCCGAGTCCTGAGGTCGTGGGACCTTTGTGGCCGGAGTTATTGGCGTTTTAAGAAAACGGGGTGAGGGGAAAACTTTCGCGTGGGGGTGGGGGCCGCTGCCCCAGCCACGTGGCTGTTTTCCGCAGCGCTCTCCGAGCGCTGGTTCTCGCACACCGGCGTTTTCAAATTTCCGATTTTTCCCGTGACCAAGTGACGTTCGCGTCCCGAGTCGTTCGCGTCGCGTTGACGTTAGAACGAATGTCGCGGATTTGCGACCGGCCCGATGGCAGTGGCAAAATCCGTTATCACGGGGATCGGAGCCGCGTGATAGTACGGGCGGCCGTGTTAACCTTATGGGGTGAATTAATAGTTAACTCACCTGGGCCCTATTGAACGGATTGGCCCGCTCGATGTCTTGTACGTTAGAGCTCAGCAAGGCGGACCGAAACAGCTGATGGGCCTAGACGTGGGTCGTCTGGTCGTCGCTGGGTGGTCGCTTTGGTCAGCCGATATTGTACTTAGCAATAGTTGGTCTGGAGGGCTGGTTTCTGCAGCAAAACTGACGTTCGCACTCGCGTTGTGACCGGACTGTCACCGTACACTTAACGCGCGATCCGGATTTTGCGATTGGGTTCGCGGGCGTCGGATTCGGCGAACTCTGTGCGGCTGCGTAATTCGGTAGCGATTTTTCGCGGAGGCGTCACAAAGCGGCGTCGGCTTTTGCCGGGCGGCAAGCTACGGGCCCGCTGAGTTCACCAAAAGATGCGCACAGGCGGTGCGGATTTTTTGGTGGTTCGAACGGGTGCGTGCGGTGTTTGGGTGGTGAGCACCAGCGGATCTGGTGTTGCCGTGAGGTCGGGCGGCCGAGCGCGGTGCACTTAGGTCGCCGTATCTCACTGAGTTTAAGACCTACGATCGCGCGCGATGGCTTTTTCACTTAGTGGCGGGCAGCTGAAGCGATTGAGCCATGAAACGGGCGAATCGGAGGTACTTTTTGGTCGAACTTTTTATCGGCGGCGGGCGGCGGAATTTCACGCACTGTTTTCGCGATTTCTCGGGCGCGGCTGGGCCGATTTCGACGCGCGATGTCTTGGCGTGACGGCGGAGTCGAGACGAATCGATAGGTACCTGAATCGATCGGATCGGTTCGAAGTTTTCGGTGAAAACAAAAAACTCGTCGGGAGCGGTACGGAGGTGCGTGCGATCGGTTTCGTGGTCGGAGCCAGACTGAACCTAACCTAACCTAACCTAACCTAACCTAACCTAACCTAACCTAACCTAACCTAACCTTTTTTTTTTTTTTTTTTTCGGGTTTGAACCGACGACGTCGCGGGAACTGCTTTCGCAATGCTTCCGCGACGCCGCCATCGTTTATTTGAAATAATAAAGACAAATAATTATACATACGGGAGGGGTAGACGGGACACTTCCCCGACTTACCCCCCCTCTAAACATGACAGTACATAGCATATTACATTTTACATTATCAGCAGTTGTTGAGGCGTACACCTTTTGGCGGGCCGACCGGAGTCCGCCGCCCTGGTTCTCTCGTGCTGCTACTCCTATTGGCGGGCCGACCGGAGTCCGCCGCCCTTGAAACCTCGTTCTCTAGGTGTCCAGCGATGCCGTGATCGTCGTCCCGCCCGTGGTGTCACGGGTGGGGGATGAACAACGTGGTCGGTGACACCTCCGACGACTCGCGGTAGCGAGTGGTGTGAGTGTCTGTCCAGTTGTTCATCCTGATCCAGCTTCAGACTGAGTGCGCTGTCGTCAGTCGTACAACTGTTCCTCCCTTTCATCATCTTCTTTGGAGCACATGATTTTTTCCACCATCGCCATAAACTCACGTCTGTTGGTCTTTGCCTGTTCTACGATCCTTGACCGGGCTGTCAGATCGTCAGGTAGTTCGTCGGCCCTAGGTCCACACAGGAGTTCCTGAACGTCCCCGGGCTCTGGTGGGCGTCTTAAGATCCTGGTCAGGACAGCACGCTCGTCCTCCCACCTGGGGCAAGCGAAGAGGGTGTGCTCTGCCGTGTCTTCGGGGTTCATGCAATACACGCAGTAGCTGTCCACGGCACGTTTGAATCTTAGCAGGTAGCTGCGGAAACAACCGTGTGCAGACAGGGCCTGCGTCATGCGGTATGTGAGGCTCATAGCAGGCTTCGCAATCCAGCGTGCGATGTCGGGCAGAAGCCGGTGGGTCCATCTGCGTCCGACTGCGTCAGGACCGGCTGCGGCCCGATCCCATCTGGATTGCCAAGACGATGTAGAGATTGCTCTTTCTCCTTTCCTTATAGTGGAGGTCGATGTTAATTCTCCCTCATCTTCTAGACGGGTCTTGACTCTTGCCCGTTCGTGGGCGAGGAGGTCGGCCGGCAGCATGCACGACAGTACGGAGGACGCGTCGGCGGAGATCGTTCGGTAGCCTCTGATGGTGCGGAGTGCCGTGGTCCTCTGCGCCCTGGCCATCTCGTTTCGATTTTTCGCTGTCTTGATGCCGGCTTTGGCCCAGGTTGGGGACGCGTAGAGCAGCTTGCTGTTGGTCACAGACCCCAGCAGAGCCCGTTTTGCCTGGGTCGGGCCCCCTACGTTGGGCATCAGACGTCCGATGGCTTTAGCCGAATCCGAGGCCTTTCTCGACGCTGTGGCTATGTGTGCCGTGAACGACAGGCGGGTGTCCAACTCCACCCCCAGATATCGAATGACTGGCTTCACCGGTATGGCGTGTCCCTCCACGTACAGTTGGGGGTCGTCGAATTTGTATTTCCTGGTCAGAACGACGGCCTCAGACTTTTGGGGAGCTATCGTGAGACCGTTTTCGCGCATCCAATTCGAGACGGTGCTCAGCGCTGGGTTCAACAGTTCTGCTGCGGATGCTCCGGTCCGAGAGGTTCCGATGACGGCCACGTCGTCGGCGAATGCCACCAGTTGAACTCCGGGTTGCATGTCGGTGTCAAGTAGTTCTTCGTAGAACACGTTCCATAAGGCAGGACCGAGTACCGAACCCTGTGGGACCCCGCACGTGACGCTCCTCGCTGTTTGTGCCTCTCCGACGAGGAGGGTCCTGTTCTCCAGATAGGATCGTATCATGCGGTTCAGGTGGGATGGGACCAGCCTTTCGCGGAGAGCGGCGTCGATCCGAGGCCACGGGGCGGTGTTGAACGCATTGCGCACGTCGAGGGATACGACTACGCACAGGTCGCGGTGTTGGACTGCGCCCGATGCGGCTCCCCGGGCTGCGCTGATTACGCGATCGATTGCGTCGTCGGTGGATCGTCCTTGCCGAAACCCGTACTGGTTCTCGGACCTTTGTCCGGTCGAGTCGAGGTGCAGGTTGAGTCTCGTCAGCAACAGTCGCTCCAGGAGCTTTGCCGCGGAGTTGAGCATGCATAGTGGCCTGTAGCTCGATGGCTCGAGGATCGGCT